AAGGACTTTGCAACTGTTTCTTGATATTCAATACCCAGAAATATATGTTAGGAACGCTGTAGCAATTGGTTATTTTCTACTTGATGGATGCATATTTCAATTTTGCGGTTAAGAGGTGCGGGTGCGGCCAATTATCGCGATTCGGCAATAACAATGGACATGAGCGGAATCTGTCCTCTATTTGTGCTGCTCCTTGTCCTTTGGTACATAATGAATGTCTCCAGAAAATTTGACCTAATTCCAAAGAGAATTGGCTGAGATGTTTGTATTTTACGGTGGACTATCCGCGAAGGTAGATCGCCACCTTAAGCTCCGCCGACCAGAGGTCTCGGCTTCATAGCTCCATGGACGCACCAAAGGGATATTGGGTAGGGAGGATTAAATTGAAAAAGAAAACAGAAGAAAGAAAATGGAAAGATTGTATTGCTCAGTGAGCAAAAGAATAAGTTCCCTCGAGGACGGACACGATAAGTTACAACAATGTAGCACTCCTTCTTTTCTTTCTGTTTTTACTTTATGGAGTCAGACCCACCGGGAAATATTTCCATGGGTGGGACAGCAAAAAGAAAGTGAAAAAATAAAAAGCCAAAAACCAAAGGGACAAGAAATAGGGGAAGGAAACCAAAGGGACAAGAAATAGGGGAAGGAAACCAAAAGCACAAGAAATAGGGGAAGGAAACCTCGCAGACAAAAGGATCGAATAGAGGAACAGTGGCGACACACAATAAAGCTGGGCTCGATGCTTGGAGTGGATGAGGACATAGGCAGACGAAAGCGGTTTGCTACAAGCGCACTTCACCGGATGTGGGTGATATGGCTGAGAGGGCAACACATCAGAGAGTCTCTACGAGTGCGCCTCTATAATAGCTTCATTCTACCAATCCTGCTTTATAACTGTGGCACGTGGAGTCTCACGGGGACACAGGAGCGGAAATTGGACGCGTTCCACAGGCAGCAGCTGCGAACAGTGATAGGCATTAAATACCCGCTCATAATAAAGAACACTTCCCTGTATAAACGCACAGAATCTCGCCCCGTGAGCCAAATCATCAGAGATGCTAGATGGAGGCTGTTTGGTCATGTGCTGCGTTTGGAAGAGGCAGCCCCAGCCAGACGTGCCATGGGAGCTTACTTCTTAGGGGGTAACGGCCCCAGCTTTAGGGGACGCCCAAGAACAACGCTCCCGCGAACGCTCAATAATGATCTCAAAAAGCTGAAAAATAATACCGCCCTAGAGACTGGCGATGACTTGAACATGCTGCAGCAGCTTGCCCAAGACCGTCGACAGTGGCGGGAACTGGTGAAGGCTGTATGTAGCTGCTAATAAAACAATGGACATAATTTATACCTTTATATATAGATAATGGAGATGACTGCAACAGGCTGCAGCAGCTCGCCCAGGATCGCCCTCAGTGGCAGGACCTGGTGAAGGTTGTATGTAGCCACTAATGCAACAATGGACATAACTTTGCGTTTCCATCTTGTCTTTTTTGTGATTGTGATTTGATTGATTGATTTGATTGATTTTATTTTACTTCGCAAGTTCAAACGGGTTCCTGGCCCAGTTATATGAAAGCGAAGGATAGAATTTGCCAAAATCCTAATGAGCAACAGCATAGGCAATATTATCATAGAAGTGGAGTACTATGCGAGCGAGAATACTGAGACGAAAGAAACATGTCAAACCTGACGAAACACAACCTATTTCAGGCATACATAAGGAAGGCAGGCTAGCTTAAAATCTTGCAATCTGGATACGGTGCGCACCTCTCTAGGCAAACTGTTCCACAGCAATGCTCCTGCGGTGGCGAATCTCGTTTGGCCACACCGACTGCGAGCTGGCTGGCTGAGCAGACCATTGGCATGCTGATGGCGCGTACTTCTGCCGCTGCATGCTGCTGGTTTGAGAAGCTGGGCTAGAGCAAGGCTAGTGGAGTCATTTAGACAACGCCAGATGAAGATCAGGAGCTTTTGTTTGAAAAGTTCAGTGACGCGGTAAATCGAGTTGGCATCCAGGAGGGGCTGCATCGCGGAACATGGCGGGCTGCCATCAATGCATCGGATCGCCCGGTTTTGCATGGCTTGCAGACGCTGAAGTTGGGTCACGCGGAGGGCTGCAGAGAAGCTGCAGGCACCATATATCATATCCGGCATGACAATAGCCTTTACATATACCTTGCGCGAGCTGCGGGAGAGGCATCGACGGGCTCTCCACAAGGCGCCTATCTTCCTCGCAACTTTGGTCATTGTGATGCTTGATGTGCACTGTGCTTCCTCGCATTCACTTGCTCCTTCTTGCAGCTTGTCTCTTTTTTCTGTTTTTTTGGTTTTTTGGTTTTGTTTTGACGCTCTGTGTGCATTGCGCTTCCTCGCGCTCACTTGCTCCTTCTTGCGGCTTAAGCGAAGGCTATATGTGAGCTTTATAAGCTCACTGATGCTAACGCGAATAGAGCATAATAATAATAAACACTCTTGATGGCTGTGCTTCCCTGGCTGTCGTGGGGTGTTCTTCTAGTCTGCAATCACGCTTGAGTAACCCCCGCCGGAGGCCAGGACTCTGGCCCAGCCTGGGTGTGACGAGTGTTCATGCAAGAAACACGGGCGGCAATGTATAATTTATATAGTAAAATTGATAATATTAATACTAATAGTTATGACACGCCAAGAAGAGGTTGGTGCCGGTGCGGCTTAGGCGATACTTGGGTGTGTCGCTCTCAACGTGTGAGCTCGCGCTTTTCCTGCCGACTTGAATTCTCACTCGACTGACTCACGACTGGCATTCATGAAGAGCACACGAGCTCGCGAGAAGTCCATCGAACCTTCCACTCGGCAAACCGGCAAGAAAGCACCACTCCCTGCTCAATACACTGCGTTTCGGGGAAACACGGTAATCATAACGACACGGCTAGTTACCTTTGCCTTGGCCTTGGGCAAGCAACGCACATTTTACGCAATGCCCCAGCCTGTCACCAGTGTGTACCATGGTGTACACTACAGCTATGGCCCTAAGCTACCCTGGATCCAACATTATCCTCAAGCGATCAGATGCGGCAGACATCGACACGGCTGAGCACTAGGAACTATTAGTATTACTAATAAATATTTCACCAGCGGTTAGTTCCAAACGGACCAAACAAAAATACACGCACATGACTGTTCATGGTATAAGATAAACCTTGTTTTGTTCAAACAAGTAATTAGTTGTAGGTTGACTGTATTATAATAAATTGTAACAAGGTGGAGGACACCGCGTTCGGAAACAGTGACCTTTCTACAACCATCCACGGTTGGTAGAGCCCCGGTCGGTTGCGACCATCTGAACCGTAGATCTACGGGTGTTAGACCCGGTTCTGACCCTCTCTATTCCAGGGGAGTTGTCTGTGCATGTACAATGTACTGACTGTGTGTGCGTGCGTGTGTGTGTGTGCTCACTGGATATTCCAGAGTCCGAGTGGTATCAGCTCGCACAGGATCGCCCGGAATGGCGCAGGCGGGTCCATCAACATCGTCTTCCTCTCCTGGCATCGAAAGACTTCCGCTGCGCATGCGGCAGAGCGTTTCGGAGAAGTGGCGATTTGAAGTGTCACCTCAAGTACTGCCCAACTCAGCAGCCTATCATCTCCACTGGAGATGGGGCGTCAAAGGTCAAAGGTCAAGTTAAAGGCGTGTGCGTGCGCATTTGTGTGTGTGTCCGTAAACTAGTAAGTGCATGTACTTGTACTATAAAAATACTTCAGTACAGATCAGGACTGAGGGGAGACTGATGCATAGGGGTGTGCGGATAATGCTCGAAAAAGTGGCAGATTCTGCTCGAAAAGCAGCGAAATTGGCAGAACCATACAAACCTGATGGCAGGCAATTCCTCGAATTCTGCTCCATTTCTTTATCCACATACCAAACATGCACGAAACTTACCAGAAAAAGTACCGAATTCTGCCAATTTTTCTGCCGGCATTATCCGCATATGCCTACTGATGCAACCAGTACTTGGCTACTTAGAATGCTCACTACAACGGTAGCCGCTACCAAACATGAACCATTCCGCTAGCCAGACACTGATGCTGTTGCCGACCTTGAACACCCCCCCCCCCCCCCCCGCCCACACACACTCACACTCCCTCTCCTTTCCTGAACTTGGCTGAAGGTGCATTTACATGCCATTGACATTGTATGAAGCTGTGTGAAGCCCACTCCTCTACGTGCACGTACCAGTACCGAGGCAGAACTGAGCAGAACTGAGCTTGTCGTCCACATCAGGCAAGGTCACTCAACTTGAACTCACATGTGCCTTCCCCGGCGAGCGTGCCCCATTTGTATGGTTTCTACAGGATTCGGTCTATTGTAGATGTGTATGATGTAGATGTCCATAACATAATGTAGATGTCTATAATGTAGATTGTGCACTGTCCCACAGTTGTGATACCCCTCTCGAATCCCGGACTCAAAAGCTGCCCCCCCCCCCCCCGGTTCGGGGACACTGGAACAGCAGAATGGGAATGGCCCAGGGCCATACTACAATCCCCCCCCCCCCCCCCTGTGCCCCTAAGGTTTGTGCAGTCGACTCCACTTATGATGAACTCTCATTATAGCAAATTTTGTGATATAGCGAACCAGTGTCGATGTCCCAGTCTGAACCCATACAAACAGTTTCGTTTTTAAGGAACAATATCTTGCAGGGCCGCATATAGAGTAAACCAGCTTCCTTCATAGCGCATGGGTACAGTGATATAAGCAGCAGTGGTGACTGGACTGGGCCCTCCCAGCCAGGGACCTGCTCAGTGCTGCTCAGGGGCACAGGATACACATAGAAATGATCACACTTAGTACAAACAATGATAGAGTCCTTTCCATGAAACCATCCCATAAAACAATGTCATGAAAATTTAACTATGCTCAGAGTGGGTCCAGGTTGACCCAGAAGTTGTATATCATTGACTTCTGACATTTTTCACTTTCAAGCCCTATTTCCACCTCTCACGCACACCACACACCTACACGAGTAAAGTCCTCCTTGGTACCAGCTCCTGGAGAGGCGCACACACAACTTCAGCGGCGGTCACTCGGCTGAAGCAATCATTGTGACGTTAAAAGGAGAAACGTTGTGTGACTAGAAAGCCTAAGAACGAGCACCGGTGACACGTAGCAGCAGCAGCAGCAGCAGCAGCAAAGGATGCACCATGCTATGTTATCTTAAGATATCCTATGTTATCCTACATTGCTGGTGCTTTCCCTACAGTATAATGTATGTCTCTACTCTCTAGGCATGTTAGTGACTATTATTTTGAACCCCTAACTATTTTTTCGAGATAATACGAGACGGACTCTCTTGAGAATATAGAATGCGATGAGCTACAATCACGGCGATGAGTAGAGGTTCTGACATGCTGGAACTGCACTGGCAGCCGTGGCTGCAGGTGTTTTGCATGCCAGTGGAGACCAGTCTACAGGAGCCAGTGCAGTCGGGGAGATGGCCGACGGATGGCCTAGGTCACAAGTTATCAGCCAGGCCTGACGTATGGGCAAGTCTCAGGAGCAAGTCGCAACCTGCATGCCTGTCACGAGATCTGTCTCAGTCGGTACACTGCGACAATCATCGATGTCAAGGTGAATGTGTTCAGCCGCCACGGCACAATGCCATGGCACTTGCCTAATTATGTTTTTTGAATGTATCTGCTCCTCACTTGATTTGTTTCAGTGACATATCTCTCTTGGGCTTCCACTGCATAAGACTATGGTATGTCAGCAACAGGTTCTTCCAGTATAGCTCAATATCTTTCAGGCGCAGGTGCTTGTCAACAAACTTGTAGCCACTGCAGAGGACACGGAAAAGCACCCAAAGGCATAATAATTATCATAGCGAGAAGTAACGCGACTTCACCCCAATAACTAGTGCTGAGGCGGGTAGCATTTTCTTCGGATATCGGGTTTGGATAGTTTTCCACAGGTACCCGATTGGGTAATGTTTCCATGGTAACACCACAATGCACCCCTTCCCTTACACACTGGCTAGACATGTGGAGTATCACATGAATTGATTATTTGTACACGTGCACTGTACATGATGTCATCTGCGACTTCGGGTTTTCGGGTACTATTCTGTACCCGTCTACCCGAGGTCCTCACGGGTAGCATGGGTACCCGACTACCCGTGCACACCCCTACCAACAAGCATGGACGCATATCATAACAAGAAGTAACGCGACTTCACCAACCTAACTACCATAGAGACGTGAACAAAAAGAAAAATGCTTGACAAACTGCCCTTTCTTTACAATGCAGGGAGTGTGTTGAGTGCAAACATTTTCTTAAGTGAAGTATATTTTAAAGCAAGTCAAAGGATCAGTCGGGAAATCAACCGCCTGAAAAGACAAAAAAATGCCAACCTCACCAGGACTCGAACACCGGGGCCTTGCTTGTCATGAACAATGCTCCTACCATCTGAGCTATGGGACCAGGCCGAACCTAGAAGCCCCCCCCCCCCCCCCCCCAGAAGGCGTTGAACCTTGAAGGCGCTGACACGTTTTTCACTTCTAGGGTCGGCCTGGTCCCATACCTCAGATGGTTAGGGCATTGCTCATGACAAGCAAGGTCCCGGGTTCGAGTCCTGATGGGTCTCTGGCATTTTTTTCTCTTTTCAGGCGGTTCACTTCCCTGACTGATCCTTTGAATTTGAAGTTCTCCCAATCCTTTAAAAAATATTCATAAACAAAGTAATAAAACTCGGATGTTGAGCCAATAGTATTACGTAAAGAGAAATGACCAATAAGTTACGAGTTATGATAAACAGTCCACCAAGGTAACGAGATAACATACAGTCAGATAGTGCGACAACAAGGCACACCACTGACAAGGATATTGAGACATTCAACGACCTGGCACCTAGGTCCAACACATCTACGAAGCGCAAACCAACAACCTAACTTGGAAGGCTCAGGTGCAGCTCATTGGAAATTTCCACACCTGAGCCTTCCAGGTTAGGTTGTTGGTTTGCGCTTCATAGATGTGTTGGACCTAGGTGCCAGGTCGTTGAATGTCTCAATATCCTTGTCAGTGTTGTGCCTTGTTGTCGCACTATCTGACTGTATAATTATTATCTCGTTACCTTGGTGGACTGTTAGTCATAACTCGTAACTTATAGATCCTTTCTCTTTACATAAAAAAATAATTTTACTTCTTTCTGTTTCAAAGTTCAAACATACCAGTGTCGGTATACAGGGACAGCTATATACATGATCAGTAAGTCTGCCTGTTTGCTCTACAAATTTGGAATTCAGGTATCATGTATCACGCACTCCACTGAGTACCTATCAGAATCTTGCACAATGCCCTGTACTCACACCATCCGCATGATCACACGCCTTGGTCCATCTGGTGCACCTCTATCCACCAGGGGTCCATTCACTGCAGAGACCCTGCACAAGAGTGAACTCTTCGCTATGGAGATTGTAGTTATTGATGGTTCTGGATCTACCAACCTGTAGAGTCGCAGAGACTGCCTCCGACTTCGCCTGATCCAGCGCTTAGATGCAGCAGAATCATGTGCCAGCAAGCCAGCACACTGAGTCCATCGGTTGTATGGTTGGCCTCCGGCTGACATCAAGCTCGTTGACGATGCCATGCCGTACCACTGTGGTGTTGCCCGCCGTGTGCCTCTACAGGACAAGGTCACAGACGAGCTCGCGTTCAAGGAGAAAATGGGCATCATCGTACGGGAAACGGGTCCCTCTGACGGGCGCTCTCCTATGGTGCCGGTGCGTAAACCCAATGGTCGCATGCAGATCTGCGTGGATCTGAAGAAGCTTAACAGTAACGTGAAGCGAGAGCACTTCCCTCTTCCGACAGTGGAGGACACACTGGCTAGGCTCGCCGGCTCTACTGTCTTCTCTACGCTGGATGCCAACAGCGGCTTGTGGCATGTGCCTCTCACAGAGTCCATGTCCAAACTGAATACCTTCATCACGCCTGTGGGTTGGTTCCGATTCCTCCGGATGCCATTCGGTATCACCTCTGCACCGGAGATCTTCCAGCGACGCCTGCAGGATTTCCTGGTCCACGTCAAAGGTTCTGAGGTGTTCATGGATGATGTTCTGGTACACGCCGCTACCCAAGCTGAAAACGACTACCGGCTGGACACAACGCGCAAGGTCCTCGCTGATGCCGGTATCACTCTGAATCCTGACAAATGCTGCCTCAAGCAGTCACTGGTCAAATACCCTGGGACACATTGTCAGCGGGTCCGGTGTGAAACCCGACACCAGCAAAATCTTGGCAATTGAAGATCTGAAGGAGCCCACGAATGTTCCAGAGCTCCGCTGTGCCTTGGGTCACTTCAAGTATGTCGCCAGATTTATCCCAGAACTGGCTACAATCGCAGCACTCCTCCGTCAGCTCCTGCACGTTGCCACAGATTGGTTCTGGGACTCATCGCAGCAGGACGTGCCCGGCGGCTGAAAGAGCTCCTCATTTCAGCCCCATGCTTAGTGCACTACGATCCCATCATGGTCAGTGCAGATGCCAGCAGCTACGGCATTGGTGGTGTTCTTCTGCAGAAGCATGATGGTGGCTAGCACCCAGTGGCCTACGCCTCTCGTTCCCTGACCAGGACGGAACAAGGCTACGCGCAGATAGAAAAAGAATGTCTCGCAGCTGTGTGGATGTGCGAGAGCCTGGACCAGTACCTCTTCGGCGCTCCCCGGTTCACCCTGCAGACGGATCACAAGCCGCTAGTGCCACTGATGAACACCAGAGGCTTGGACAAAGTTCCCATCCGGTGCCAACGTATGCTGCTCCGCTTCCTACGGTAAGAAGTCCGTGCTGTACACGTTCCAAGCAAGGATCTGGTGGTGGCCGACACACTTTCACGAGCTCCAAAACCGGCATCAGTGCAGAACATTTTCTGCACTATGACATCGGCTTGGTTTTGTCCACTACTGCCAAGGATCTCACGAGTCACGAGCCCATCCGTTCTCGCCGACCTAGCCAAGGCTACATTAGAAGATCCAGTGCTGTCCAGTGTTATGCGCTACGTCCAGCTACCATTCCCGACGACATCAAGGCATTTCACTGTGAGCGAGGCCAATTGTCACACATGCAAGGTGTCCTGTGTCACGGCTTTCACCTGGTTGTTCCGTCCGTGCTGCAGCCTGAGATCCTTCAGAAGCTGCACGATGGTCACCAAGGTACCACAAAGAGCAAAGCCTGTGCCCGCTTCTCGCCGTGGTGGCCCAGGTATCTCTGCCGACATTGAGGCTTATGTCGCCAAGTGCATTACCTGCATCAAGCAGCACCATCAACATCCAGAGCCTCTCCAGACAACTCCGTTCCCAGAACATCCATGGCAGCGTATTGCATCGGATCTCTGCAATGTCGATGGCCACCAGTATCTGATCACCGTTGACTATTTCTCGCAATACAATGATGTCGTTCGCCTCTCATCTACTACATCTCAAGCCGTCATTACACACCTAAAGAGCATGCTTGCTGTCCACGGCTATCTGGACATCCTCGTCCGCGACAACAGCCCACCGTTTGCTTCCTACGCCTTTGCCCAGTTCATCCTGTCATGCAACAACACACATCGGACAAGCAGCCTGAAGAATCCCAGAGCAATGGTGAAGTGGAATGCGCCGTGCAAACGACTCATCCATGCACTGGGTGATCTACACCAGTCTCTCCTAGCATATCGCTCTACACCCCTGGCCAACGGCTATTCGCCTGCCAAACTCTTGTACGGCCGCAGGCTCCGCCCAAATCTTCCGCACCGGATCTCCTGCAACCCTCCTGGCCAGACATCACCGCCCTCCAGGCTAAGGAGCAGGAGGCTAAGCATCGCCAGGAAGATCACTTCGATAAACGGTTTGCAGCCAAGTTCGCCGGCGCTCTCCCCTCGATGCTAGTATCACCGAGGAGGACAGCGCGGTGACCAATCTAGCAGTATCTGTACTGGATCAAGTAGCTAGTTTACTTCCAGACCTATTGCAGGGGGGGGGGGGGGCAAGGGTCAAGGTAAGCTGAGGTGGATACTGTACTGGGCATTACAATGTCGATGTACAACGCCTGAGTTCAGGAAGCTGCTACAGAATCAACTTGATGTTGAGTCCATTAGTCAATGTAGAGAAGTTGACCGGTGTGCTTCTGCCACTGGGAGCGAAATTGTGGGTCGATGACCAGCGTGAGGGTACAGTGGTTCAGCAACTCACTGATCGCTCATACAGCATCGCCACCTCATCAAGTTTTCTGCGCCGAAACTGTCATGCAGTGAAGTTACTCCAGCCAGCGACTCCTCCCGGACCGGTGCCAGCAGTACCACCGGCCGCGCCAGTTCCGCAACAACAACCTGTATCTACGTCACGGCCAACTCTCCGTGCTCGCAACAACATCCAGCCACCGTAGAGACTGATCACTACCATGAGGTAACTCTCTCTCTCTCTCTCTCTCTCTGGCTTCATGCTATTGCTCTCCTCCATATTGCATAGTTCTGTTTTCTATGCTTGGCTTTTTATAAGCCGTACATGTATCTGCCTCGCCTTTCGTGCTCCATAAAATAGTTTTCCAGCTGTTACCGGACTAGCGCGATTGGCAGCCCTCTCTTGAATAGTGCCCCAGTCTCTAAGAGCCAGTGAACAATAAAACCCTCTCTTGGATAGTGCCCCCCCCCCCCCCCCGTGCTTGTAATCAAGAACATGTGCAAGTTTGGTGTTCTTTTGCTAATGTTCTTGTCCATTTCATTGCGCTGGTGATTTCAGGATCAAAATAGCAGTTCTTGTTGCCGTTTCTGTTGAGTCGTGATAGTTTACAGTAAACTTTAGGCTCTGTTTTTCTTCAAGGCCGTCACAGCCGGGGCGGCTGGGGCGGCTGAGGCCGCCACACTTTTTTGGCCGTTTTTTTTTGTTTTTGTTTTTTTTGGAGCACATTACAACAAAGCACAATGATCGCAGCTTAGCGCAAACGTGACAAATCCTTGTCCCCGATCGTGGTTTGTTGCAGAAAAAAGTCTTTCATTGCAGTTACACTGAAATGGCACCAAATGCCTGGAAATGCTTGCAATTGGCTTCAATTTTTGATTTTTTCCCGAGGGAGGGTAATGTTTGTCCCCGATCGTAGCGTCTTCTTCGTTTGTTGCAGAATCAAAAAGACTTCTATTGTAGTTACCGTACACTGAAATGGCACCAAATACCCGGAAATGCTTGCAATTGGCTTCAATTTTTGAAATTTTTTCCCGGGGGACAGCCCCCGGACCCCCCCCCCCTTCCATGGCCGCCCCACCTCCAAAGTCAGTGCGACGGGCCTGTTCTTTGCCTTCTTTGTTTTTATGCTAGATGACATAAATGTACCAGCATTGAAAAAATTAAAAAGAGAGGACCATAAGTTTACAAGTTATCCGTTTTGTCCAACACTAATGATTATAAGCAGGATACTGTTCAGTCAAATTGTGCAACAATTAGCACAAAACTGACTGATGTGTTACTGACATTCAACGACCAGATGTTTAGCTGCATCACGTCTAGAATGCGCAAACCAACAGCCTTCCAACTTGGAAGGTTCTAAGTTATGAAGTAGTGTAAGAAATGGGAGGGTTAGTGTTGGACAAAACGAGTTATGAAGTAGCGTAAGAAAGGGGAGGGTTAGTGTTGGACAAAACGAGTTATGAAGTAGCGTAAGAAAGGGGAGGGTTAGTGTTGGACAAAACGAGTTATGAAGTAGCGTAAGAAAGGGGAGGGTTAGTGTTGGACAAAACGAGTTATGAAGTAGCGTAAGAAAGGGGAGGGTTAGTGTTGGACAAAACGAGTTATGAAGTAGCGTAAGAAAGGGGAGGGTTAGTGTTGGACAAAACGAGTTATGAAGTAGCGTAAGAAAGGGGAGGGTTAGTGTTGGACAAAACGAGTTATGAAGTAGCGTAAGAAAGGGGAGGGTTAGTGTTGGACAAAACGAGTTATGAAGTAGCGTAAGAAAGGGGAGGGTTAGTGTTGGACAAAACGAGTTATGAAGTAGCGTAAGAAAGGGGAGGGTTAGTGTTGGACAAAACGGATAACTTGTAACTTATGGTCCTCTCTTTTTAAATATTAATCCTTGGCTCTCCATCTGAGTTGAATCATTGAAAAAAATGGTGCCCTTTCTTGAATAGTGCCCCATCTATGATGGACATTGAAAAAATAGTGCCCCAGGGCACTAATCGCGCGAGTACAGTATGTTTCTATTTCTATTCATCCGTTTTCTGTTCTCCTCGATCATTTCGATTTAAAAAAAGAGGGGGGGGGGGGAGATGTCCTATACGGTTCCTGTATCTACTTATCCTTTCACCCATTCACGACCCCTGTCTGTCGCCATGTATAGACGGTACGTGACCTCGCACTACCCCGTACTACGCACGATACCATGCTCTACTCAGCATGGCCTTCCTGACGAGTCTCTTCACTATTAGTATCTACACTCCTAATACTGTCAGTTCTTGACACAACACCGATGATACACACCAGGATCAATCTAGTTGTGTTACGATC